CTGTTTACATTGTTTAGATATACAGTATGTTTATATCCTATGTATGAGTTAGCATTTGGGTGTGTGTGGCAACAGGGGTGCCTTTTCAAATGTTTTTAATTCAACTATATTTCTTTTTTTTTTTACTTCTTTGTATATCAAACCCCTTATGTGATAGCATTGATTAGGTGACAGGCCCTCTTTATGGAGACATTGGAGATCTATTAGACCCTCAATGTCTCCCCTGCCCTCCACTGCAGCTAATCAAGCACAGATCAAGAAGTAGTCGGGGAATGACAACTCTGAAAGTGACAAAAATCCTTGCTGCTTCCACATTCATTCATTGCATAGTTTACCATAATGTTGTGCTCCCAGAGGGACAGGAGAGCCTAGGAGAGCTGGCAGCACAAAAGGGAGGGGGGGAGGGTCAGACCATTTAATATACTGTAAAATGTTAGGGGCCATTTTCACATGATCACCTGGAACGCTTCTGCATGACAGCTGAGAGTTGGCTGAAAAAAAATCCACACCATCTCAGCAGCAGCCGTGTGCTTTCATTAATAAACACTTAGGTAGGGCATGTGCAGGCATCTCCTGCCCTCGGTCTGGACATTGCAACCACCTGTCACTTCAACAGCTGACTTCTTTTTCAATCCCAGCAGTGCCCCTGGAGCACAGGAGGTCACAAAGTTACTGGATTTTTGGCAGAATCAGCAGATATTTTTGCACTTACCAAACAGATAAAAACACAACACTTTCAAATAGAGTAAATATGAAAGGTTCATTATTAAATGATAATGAAAAGCAAAACGTTTTGTTTGGGTAGGAAGTGATTAAAAAAACATAATCTATTATGATTGTAGTTTCACTTATCTACTAAGTTGCCATACTGGCATTGTTTGTTTTCTGCTATGCTACATGGCTAGATACTTTTACCTGCATTCATGACGTATCATTTTTGCGATGATAATTTACAAGGGTTTTACAAATTTATGTAAAAATCTAATATTTGCATTACTCAGTTGGAATGATTTACTACTATTTCAGCTGCGTTGTATGTCAACCCATTTGGTACCTGATTTGTACGAAATATTGATTGGATTATTGCCATGTTGTATTCTGTTTGTTTTTCTCAATATGGAGAAAAAAAAAATAAAAAACCCATAATTGGTTTTTACTGCTGTCTTTGCCCCTATTAGGAAGATTCACCCTCTCTATTTCTCCTGTTTACCATTATCATTGAAAGTAAAAGAAATTCCCAAATTTTGGTTCGTCCCCTGAAAAGTAATCTTCCAATGGGGACACTAGATCTGCTGAGAAGAAATTATAATCAATGCAAAACACTAATGCCAAGTCCATAATGTCCAATAATTTGTGGTATTAATGTAATCTAAATAAATTAGATTCGGAAGGTCCGTAGGTCAATAAGGGCAAGCTTCATGTAGTAATGTAGCAGAACTCTGTATGATAGAAGGAAAAAAAAAGAAGCGCCTCTAAGTGCAGCAAAACCACTTTAATATAGCACTTTAAAATAGCACAAATGTAAGAACACTCACATATTCAAGCAGTAAAACAGGCATGTGTGTGATATCCAGTAAGGAACGGCTGTGACAGGTGCCTGACATCCACGTCTGCGGAAGCCGGCCGGCATACACCTACTCCTCAAGATGGCGTCTGGAATGCACGCTGAGGCGCGATGTCCGCGTGATGATGTCAGGAACCAGAATTCATTGTGACGCGTTTTGGAGCATGCACTGGCCTCTATTGGCGGAAGCGCGCTCCTTTGTCAAGCATTTGTGGTATATTAAAGTGGTTCTGCTGCACTTAGAAACACTAAAGCTGGTGACCTGGGGTCCCCCAAGGTAATTTCCTTAGTTTGCAGGGATTTCCTTTCACTCCCTACATAGGTTATGGGTCAGTAAGTGAATGAAAATCTCTCTAATGAGACACAAATGGCAAAAAAAGGGGGTTATAACCCTCTCTTACTCTATCCAAAATGTTTTAAAAATGTTTTTCTATTGTTCAACATTAAGGTGTACAAACACTAAAAGGTGGTAACTACCTAAACCAAAATGAATATTATAAATTCCATTCACAGATTTCTTGAAATATTATAAAAAATAAAGTAAGTACAGAGGTGCAATATAAAATAGTTGCTTGTTCTACCTGCAGATAAATCCAGAATGCACTTAGAAAAAAATGCTATATAATCCAGAGTACTAACTCTGAAATGACAAGCTCAATAGACACACTAAAATAAATCTGAGTAACTGATTTATGATGAGGCATTTAATCCCCTAACAAAAAGCAATCTAATCCCCAAGTAAGATTCATAAACAAACTGATTCTGTAACATTAAATCCTTTACACCAAGAGAGACTTTCACTTTGAAAACAATATATTCCTTGCCAGATATAAGTGTATATTCCACTTGCTATGCAGCTGGGGACATATCCCATATATATATAAACTGTTAAGTACATGAAAGATTACTATCAGCATTAAAAGTTATAGGTTTTGTGCTGCAATATCGCTATGGAATTCAAGGAACTACTGTGCCAATAGATTTATATATCCCTCCCTTGCCCCTAGACATTTGAGCATAATCAGTAGATGGCGGTGCGTTTTCATTCCTAAGTTTACTATAAATACATAAGGATGTATACAATACAACTGCATTAAATGTAAATGTTTGGGAGGAACCGACATCCAGCCAAAGCACAATATTATTATGCAGCCTTATCTGGTTTCATCTACTAATCCTCGAAACTTCGACTCTGGGCCACTGTCATATACAAGATATCTGACCGGCATTCGCTGAAAGGTAGAAGCCTTTCTTATTGCAAATAGTGTGAGCTGATCAACTGAGTTTTTAAAGGGAATGTATAACACATTTGCACATAACTAATATATAACATATATATATATATATATATATATATATATATATAAAACACAGTATTTATATTTGTTGGGGTTTGAGTAAATATAAGATATTATAGACAATAGAAATATCATGTATTCTTTTATCCAACCAGCAGGTGGAGCTGTAGATTCCTTTACAGTCTGCAGAGCTTCTCATAGCATTGGTGCAGCGATACCCAGTTATTTACAGCAGCAATGTGTCAGCTGAATTAGTTATTGAATTTGTGACTCATCCCTCAGCTGGAAAGGGGATAACGTTTACTATGCTGTATATTTAGCTAAATCATAGTGCTCTGAGTATTCTTGTTAAAAGTAAAAAAAAAAAAAAAGTATATATATACAGGTGAAACTCGAAAAATTAGAATATCGTGCAAAAGTTAATTTATTTCAGTAATGCAACTTAAAAGGTAAAACTAATATATGAGATACACTCATTACATGCAAAGCAAGATAGTTCAAGCCGTGATTTGTCATAATTGTGATGATTATGGCTTACAGCTCATGAAAACCCCAAATCCACAATCTCAGAAAATTAGAATATTGTGGAAAGGTGCAATAATCTCGGCTCAAAATGTCCCACTCTAATCAGCTAATTAAGCCATAACACCTGCAAAGGGTTCCTGAGCCTTTAAATGGTCTCTCAGTCTGGTTCAGTAGGAATCACAATCATGGGAAAGACTGCTGACCTGACAGTTGTGCAGAAAACCATCACTGACACCCTCCAAAAGGAGGGAAAGCCTCAAAGGGTAATTGCAAAAGAAGTTGGATGTTCCCAAAGTGCTGTATCAAAGCACATTAATAGAAAGGTATGTAGAAGGGAAAAGTGTGGAAGAAAATGGTGCACAAGCAGTAGGGATGACTGCAGCCTGGAGAGGATTGTCAGGAAAAGGCCTTTCAAAAATGTTGGGGACTTTCACAAGGAGTGGACTGAGGCTGGAGTCAGTGCATCAAGAGCCACCACACACAGACGCATCCTGGACATGGGCTTCATATGTCGTATTCCTCTTGTCAAGCCGCTCCCGAACAACAAACAATGTCAGAAGTGTCTTACCTGGGCTAAAGAAAAACAGACCTGGTCTGTTGCTCAGTGTTCCAAAGTCCTCTTTTCTGATGAGAGCAACTTTAGCATCTCATTTGGAAACCAAGGACCCAGAGTATGGAGGAAGAATGGAGAGGCACACACTGCAAGATGCTTGAAGTCCAGTGTGAAGTTTCCACAGTCTGTGTTGATTTGGGGAGCCATGTCATCTGCTGGTGTTGGTCCACTGTGCTTCATTAAGTCCAGGGTCAACGCAGCCGTCTACCAGGAAATTTTGGAGCACTTCATGCTTCCTTCCGCAGACGAGCTTTATGGGGATGCTGACTTAATTTTCTAGCAGGACTTGGCACCTGCCCACACTGCAAAAAGCACCAAAACCTGGTTCAATGAACATGGTATTACTGTGCTTGATTGGCCAGCAAACTCATCTGACCTGAACCCCACAGAGAATCTATGGGGCATTGCCAAGAGAAAGATGAGAGACATGAGACCGAACAATGCAGAAGAGCTGAAGGCCGCTATTGAAGCATCCTGGTCTTCCATAACACCTCAGCAGTGCCACAGGCTGACAGCTTCCATGCCACGCTGCATTGAGGCAGTAATTGCTGCAAAAGAGCCAAAACCAAGTACTGAGTACATATGCATGCTTATACTTTTCAGAGGTCCGATATTGTTCTATGTACAATCCTTGTTTTATTGATTGCATGTAATATTCTAATTATCTGAGATTGTGGATTTGGGGTTTCATGAGCTGTAAGCCATAATCATCACAATTATGACAAATCACGGCTTGAACTATCTTGCTTTGCACGTAATGAGTCTATCTCATATATTAGTTTCACCTTTAAAGTTGCATTACTGAAATAAATGACCTTTTGCACGATATTCTAATTTTTCGAGTTTCATTTCACCTGTATATATATATATATATATATATATATATATATATATATATACACTATATTGCCAAAAGTATTGGAACACCCCTCCAAATCATTGGATTCGGGTGTTCCAATCACCTCCATGGCCACAGGTATATAAAATCAAGCACCTAGGCATGCAGACTGCTTCTACAAACATTTGTGAAAGAATCGGTCGCTCTCAGGAGCTCAGTGAATTCAAGCATGGTACCATGATAGGTTACCACCTATGCAATAAGTCCATCTGTGAAATGTCCTTGCTACTAAATATTCTACGGTCAGCTATTAGTGGTATTATAACAAAGTGGAAGCAACTGGGAACAACAGCAACTCAGCCACGAAGTGGTAGGTCAAGTAAAATGACAGAGCGGGGGCAGCGCATGTCAATAGCTAGAGACCTCCAAACTTTGTGTGGCCTTCAGATTAGCACAACAGCAGTGCACAGAGAGCTTCATGGAATGGATTTTCATGGCCGAGCAGCTGCGTCCAAGCCTTACATCACCAAGTGTAATGCAAAGCGTTGGCTGCAGTGGTGTAAAGCACACCATCTCTGGACTCGAATCTCTGTCTGGCAATCTGATGGATGTAATAATGGTGTAAACCTCCTGCGCTCAACAATGTCCAGCTACATAAACTCAAGAGAAGCTGCTAACATTAAATCATATACCAATGATTAACATGAACATATAAATGGAAAAAAATGTAGCGCTACTCACATTCACAAATGTGCATATATCCATATAAATATATATATATATATAAGTGTCAAATAGTGTATCATAAGTAAAAAATCACTAAATAAACTAATAACAAAGTGATATCATGCAAAAATCTTTAGGACATTATTGAATGTGAACTCAATCATAAACACTCCAACCGTGATGGTGATAAATATTAATTACTACTAATACTTATTAAATGCAACCCTCACAAGAGGATACGTAAAATTACAAACCAAACCGTGTAAAAAAAAAAAAAACACATATATATCTCTCTATACATACCCCATTCAGTGAAAAAAATATGAAATCAAATGTGCATATAGTGAACATAATACAGTGCAACCACAAAAAACTAATCCAATATATGCTGATGATAACCCTTAAATGAAAAGCACTCGTGCTGGTATTTGTGTGTACGTAGATATGGTAGTTGACAGAAGACAATCCGACCACCGGCTGGATAAGCCTCTCACCTTATAACTTCGACCCTTACGGGTCAAAACGCTTTACAGGATCCTCCTCACAGATCCTCCAAGTTAGCTGTCACTCCAAATAACCGCTCTCGCTGCACACAAATCCCTCAATGGGTCAGCAGTCCACTAATCCTCTCCAGGTAAGATCAAGTGTAGCGCCAGTATCTTTCACACACAAGACACATGGTAGTTTTCCAGCTGGGCGGTCTTGTGTGTGAAAGATACTGGCGCTACACTTGATCTTACCTGGAGAGGAGCCATTAGTGGAGTGCTGACCCATTGAGGGATTTGTGTGCGGCGAGAGCGGTTATTTGTATATATTTATATGGATATGGATATATGCACATTTGTGAATGTGAGTAGAGCTACATTTTTTTCATTTAAATCTGATGGATGTGTCTGGGTTTTGACGGTTGCCAGGAAAACAGTACTTGCCGGACTGCACTGTGCCAAGTGTAAAGTCTGGTGGAGGGGGATTATGGTGTGGGGTTGTTTTTCAGGGGTTGGGCTTGACCCCTTAGTTCCAGGGAACTCTTAAGGTGTCAGCATACCAAGACATGTTGGACAATTTCATGCTCCCAGCTTTGTGAGAACAGTTTGGAGATGGCCCCTTCCTTTTCCAACATGACTGCACACCAGTGCACAAAGCAAGGTCCATAAAGACATGGATGAGCAAATTTTACTGACCTGCACAGAGTCCTGACCTCAACCCGATAGAACACCTCTGGAAAGAATGAGAGTGGAGACTGTGAGCCATGCCTTCTTGTCTGACATCAGTGCCTGATCTCACAAATACGCTTCTGGAAGAATGTTCAAACATTCCCATAGACACACTCCTAAAACCTTGTAGACAGCCTTCCCAAAAGTGTTGAAGTTACTATAGCTGCAAAGTGTGGGCCAACTCAATATTGAACCTTACAGACAAAGACTGGGATGCCATTAAAGTTCATGTGCGTATAAAAGCGGGCATCCCAATACTTTTGGCAATATAGTGTATATACACAGCACCTGTTTATGGTCACTGGCCACTGCTAGCCAATCCTGTTCCAGCTCTTCTGTCAAATGAAGCAATGTATCTTCTTCATAAAGATTTTGTGGACAGGTAGAGTTTGAAATAAAAGAACACACGGATGAATTAAAATTCAGCCATTATGTGCAATACATAGGCAATTACATATATCTAATAGTGCAAAAACAATGTAAAAAAAATCATTACTAACTCAAAGCAAGCAATGTTCATTGCCCCAAGGGTTGTAAAACTGTAAAATAGGATGTCTAATTGTTTGCTATGTATTGCTTCACTTTGAACATCATTGGTGCTCTTTGCATGGCCTAAGGAAGTCTAAAAAGTAATTCATTGTCTATAACAAAGAATATTTTCTGCAACTAGATAGAAGGTGCAGTACATCCACCCAAAAATTATTAAAAAAGGAGGCTGATAAAGATTTCACTAATGTAACAATTTATAACTCACTTTGCTCATCCCATTAATTTCTAGGCGGACAATACATTTGTATGACAGCTTTCCTCTGGAAATAACTGCCTGGATAATCAGCTTTATTATAACTGCTTTTTTTTTTAACATAGCCTGCATTGCTTATGTTTCCAGAGCTTTAAAATCTGAGGCATTATTCATTATTATTCAGAGGAAGAAAAGGAAGAGGCAAAAAATATTGACATTTGAATTTGTTTGTTACATCTTTTTAGGAGGTAAAGTCATTTTCCAGCAGATCAAAAAGATCAAATGAGCTGATGAGATACAATGATGTTTCTTGGCAAGATACATTATTGATATCCTGAAGCTGAAAGGCATGCAGAACAGTTATGATCATTACATATGCTATGGACATCTATACTATGCTAACATGTGGCTTTGTGCTGATGGGAAGGATAGAACTTTGTGAAAATTCTTATGCAGATTGATGGTAAAGAGAACCTACCTTTACCCTGAGGAGTCAACCATCTTGGATGGTTGAGATAAAAATAGCGGTACAGTATATTTTCAACATAACAATGCTTGGATCACAATCAATCTCTATTACCATATACTGTATTACTCAAGTCAAAAGGTCAAGGACAGGAGTCCGTTGAGAGGTAGATATGCAGGCTTTTTGTGTGGTAAGTATAAGAAGATGGCTGGTGAATGCAGACGCCACTTTTGTTGCTTTAAAGGATAAGTACAGCAAAAGCTCTTTTGGCTGTACTTCTGTGTAACACAGAAGTGCACTTCATTCTGAAGCTCGCTGTCTGCTAACGTCACTCAGCCAGTCCAGCTGGGGAAAGATCCCGACTTTAAAGTCAGAATCCACCCCAGAGTCTGGAGTAGAACCTGGCTCAGCCTTTCAGCCAGCCACTGAGAGCCTAAGCCAGCCTCTGCTTCCTTCTCTACACCCCAGCAATCCAGTGAGCTCTGGGGGGCAGAGCAGAGACAGCAATGACTGACAGTCTCTGCTCTCTGCTCAGAGTGGCTGTGAGAACGAACTCAGCATTCTCACACTTAGAGCTGGCAGGGACAGATGCAGCATCAGACCGAGTTTAATTGAGGGAAAAAATCCAAACCCCTACTTCTCTTTGAAGGGCTTGTTCACACTTTTTTTGATCATGAAGAATGAAGCAACCTTCATTAATGTGCTTATAGTATTTTGATATGTTTTTGAAGCATTGAGAAGGCATCAGGAAAGCTTGTCAAATGCCCATGAAAGTGTTGTTTTTCTAGGGGGAAGTGCTTAAAGGAGAAATGATGCAGATGATTTGATCAGCATTGAGGCACGTTCCGGTTGTGGTGTGATAGAAGGCATTTTTGTAAGTTCTCTGCAAGATGGTTTCCTATACTTTGATCTATTTGACACTTGGTTTGGTCCAAGATGACCATGGAAAGATTGTCACAATCACTTGCTGGCATCTAAACTTGCTGGCACGTTTACTTGCTGATACGTTACGTGCTGACATTGAAACTTTGCTGACACAAGAAGCTTTGCCACAGGCTGTATAGTACAGTGCCCCTGCTCCTGCCTTGCACTGTCAATTTTACTAGCTGGATTGATGATTTTGCCTGCATATAGAGGCAAATGGTGTTACATGACTGCTTTGTACAACAGGAGGAGGCTGGAGCTACTCTGTCCTAGTTATTATTTCCCAGAGCATTCTGGGATACAGAATCCTCCACTGCCTCTCCCCTAGCACCCAGCCATCACTTTATAAATGCTTCACTAACACACTGTAAATGCTTTAGGTGTGGTTAAGGTGTGCTACCATTGAAAATAATGGAGGCGGCTGACAAGTTGTGATGCCTCTTGAAAGCGATATGCTGCTTACTTTTTAACACAGCAAAACACTACCACTCCTTTGTATACTGCATTGAGTGGTGCCCATTGTAATATTCATGGCAGGCATTGAAGGATGGTTAAGAGGCTTTAGGAACACTGCTTAAACACGGCAGCATAGGGTATTGCCCTAAGGGATATCAAATGGATGCCAAGGAGAACAATCAATCTGAACAGAGGCAGCTGCTGTATGTTAAAGCAAAGATTCAGTTAACATAACACTAGGCAGTACTATGCAAATGGAACTTGCAGCAGGTTTGTACCATTGTATTCAAGGCCTTGCATGGAATACGCTCATTATGATGCCAACAAATTCATGTACTTATGGTAAACATGTTAATGAATCCAGGTCATACACTGCAGGTGCAGGAGCATGGGAACTGTAGAGTCAATCCTTCCTCAGTATATATCTGAGAATTCTCCTCACACAGGTAGTGCAACAGCTGAGGATTTTTAAAGATAGATGGGCAGAGCCTGATGGGGATTCATGGACACTAGTTCCCCCTCATGTCCACATGCCTTGTGACTGGCAACAGGCAATTGGATGGATCCATAGGCAATAGACAGTCTGCTGTTGGCTACAGAAGCCACCCACTGCCTGCTGTCAGTCACAAGGAGAGCAAAACTGATGGGGAACCAGTGTCTCAGCTCCCTCATCAGGCTCCACCCACTGTCAGCATCACTGGTTGCTTGGAGACACAGCCGACAGCTTCCTTAACAACCAGTGACAGTTGGGGAGGGGAGGAAGTAGCAGCAGCAAATCTGCCTCCTGCTACACAGTGTACAAATACAAGCACTCTTCCTGCCCATGCCAATTTAAAGTTGGTCTTAATTACCTCCAAACTAAAATAACCAATATTGCTAGCTGCTATGTAAAAGTAAAAAACCTCCCTTCTTAATAGTGTACAAAGCCAATTTATATCAAGAACAAAACATAAAAAGCAAGCACCATGCACCCCATGTGAATCTCATACCATTCCACAAAAACCAAAATTTATATGACATTGTGCAGTGCTATATAAACTGTGCTAATAAACGTATCTTTACCAAAAATAAATAATATTAAACTTAACTTAATAATAAATAG